CAGCCTGTCCCCAAGGCCAGAGGAAGGATGAAAAGGCTTTATTGATAAATACAGACTATGTACAGAGGGGAGACATCTCCACCCAGCCCAGCACCCCACGGGTCTCCTGGCCAGGGGGAAGCCAGAGCCCAGTGGGTCACAGCCTCTCCCTGCCGGCACAGCCTGGCAGAGGAGCCCCAGCCCCAGAGACATTTGGTCTCGAACCTCCTTCAGCAAACACGGCGCCTGCCCGTGTCCCCGGCCAAGGGCAGCCACCATGGTGGCACAGCCCCATGCAGACCTTCCTGGGGGGTTACCTGTGTGGCAGCCTCAGGGGGGAGCAGGAGCAGCTCCGGATGGGCCAGAACACAGCACAGGGAATCCCCAGAGGTGCCACTGTCCCCCAGCCCCCTGCCCTCTCCCCTCAACCAGTAGGGGGTGGCTCAGTTCCTGGGTGGAAGGGGCTGGTTGACAATCACTTGCACAACAAAATCCTTCTGGATCTTGGTCTCCTGCAGTCGTGTGCGGTCAGTGAGCAGCTTGCCTGAGAAGAACCAGCGCTGCCAGGCCAGGTCAATGCCCTCCTGCGCCTGCAGCTGCTTCTTCAGCTGCCCGATGGTGTCACTCATGCTGGCGCTGAGCCGCAGGTCCTTGCCGGTGGAGAGGCGCACCTTGAGGGTGAACTCCCGACGGGCGTTGGGCAGAGGCTCAGCCGGTTCCACCGCCTCCTCCTCGCTCCGCTCCAGGATCAGGTTGACGGGGGGTGCAAGGCAGTAGACGGGCAGCTGGTACCGGTTGCCCAGCTCATCATAGCACTCCGTCAGGGACCCTGGGGACAGCAGGATAAGATGCTAAGGGTGGGCATCCCCATGGACCACTCAAATGGGGACAGGGTCACCTCAAGCAGGCTGGCACAGCCTGCCTTTCTCATCTTGGCTGGGCTGAGCTCTGGATGGCAGGTGGGAGCCCCTTTCTACTCCAGCCTGGGACCCCCATGTGCCCAGATATGGGGCACTCAGCACGCAGCCCACCCAAATGCCCAGTGCTGACCCTCACCATGGGGCAGGGTGATACTGGCTCCATCGAGGATGGCCTGGGCCAGGCTGTGGTCATTGGCTTCTACAGCATAGGCAGCTGCCTTCAGGGCATCCCAGATCTCCTTGCGGCCTTCGAAGGCTGGTGCCGTGTCCCAAAACTCGTCCCGCTTGCTGCGCAGCTGCCCGTCTGTCATGGGGTAGTCACTCTTCCACTTGGGACACTCCTTCTTCAGGGGCTCATTGCGGCCTGCAGAGGTGGGGATATTCAGCCAAAGGACAGGGTTTCCCCTCGGGTCCTGAGCCCCCCACCTCCCCACAACCACAGGTTCTTCCTGGGGACCTCTTGCACCCCACCCTGTCCAGTGAACAACAGCCCCCGATGTAGCCGGGGTAACTGGCCTAAGCAAGCCTGGCCCAAGATCCCACTGGCCCCACAGCAGTTGCTCCCCAAGTGACACCCTTTACCCCCAGGGGGACAAGGGCTCTTGTTTCCTTGCTTGGGGGACCAGCCACTGCCCTGTAGGGTAGTCACAGGGCCTCGGGGCCCTTTGAGGCAGCGCAGTATTTATAGCTTGGGGAATTAGCCAGGAAATAAGCTGGTGAGTCGGAACGAGAAGGGGATTACAAAGGCTGAGCTGCAGCAGAGGGGGTCAGGACTTCACTGTCCCCTCTGCCCACCCTGGGATGACAGGGACCAGCTGCAGGCAAGACAGCGTCCCGGGAATTAGGGGGACAGAGAGCATCACTGCCAGACTGCAGGTGCCCCAGCAACGGGCTGAACCAGTCCCTAGCCACATCCCCACAGACCTTCAGCAGCCAGCATTGCCCAGGGATCTGAGCCACCCCAGTGCCAGTCCCAGATCACCATGCCCTCACTACACTGGGCTGTGGCCCTGTGGGAACAGCCCTGTCCCATCGGTCCCACAGCCAGGCCAGACACGTGGGGCAGGAAGGAGCTGTTGTCACTCCCAGCTGAGCTGGGGACAATGAATGATAACAGCTCCTTCCTGCCACCCCCCTCCCTGAGCTGGCCAGGCAGCGCCCCTCCTCTGGGGACAGGATGAGGGGAAAGTGAGGCTCCAGCTGGGCAGGAAGATGCCGGTGCCCACACAGCGTCCTGCCAGGCAAGGTAATGCCACACACCCCAGCCACTGGAGACAGCCACCACCGCCAGCTGTGGGCTGAGCCGAGTTCCCCAGGCAGCTGCTCCTGAGCAAGGGTGCGCTGACACGCAGCACTCCATGTCCTTTTCAATTGTACCAGCCCTGCCCCACCCTGCCCAAGACCCCTGGAGCCAGCATAGCATCTCTTCCCAGCAAGCCACCTCAGGGGTCCCCAAGGGGCACAGGTGCTCAGCTACCCCAGGGCTGGGCACCCAGCATCCCTGGCAGGCAGCATCCTGCCCACATCCCTGGAGGAGCAAGGGCAGCCGGCTGCAGCCAGTGCTGCCGATTCAGCAGTCACGGTGCTGGGCCAGAGGGATTTGCAGCACCACAGGACACGGCAAGGTCAGAGGCAACACCTGCCCCAGGAGGGCAGCAGGGAAGTGTCCACAGCCAGCCTGAAGGACATGTCTGGGATCATGTCCCTGCACTGCTATGGCATCAGGCTGGGGCTCATGTTCTCACAGCCAGGACTCCTGGCCAGCACTCCCAGTGAGCACCATTCCCCCAGCTCTGCTTGCAACAAAGGGAAGAGGCTGGCCCAGGAGAGGCAGCAGGACTGGAGCTGTGGGGGTCGGCTGTGGCAGGGAGCAGGGACAGGCCGTGGCTGCCTCGTGTGTACAGATATGCCCAGCAGCCTTGCCCAGGTAGGCAGGGGCTTAAGCCTAGTCTATTTATTGCTACCACCCAGCTGGGCCTGCACCTTCTAATCACCTCCTGCTGCTCTATTCCTAGCCCCTTGTGCAACTCTCCATGACAGCACCACCAGACAGGTCCATCCGCTCGCTGTGCCCGGACTCGAGCCAACAGGATCTGGCTGGCAGCCTGCTGCCTCCTGCCCTGTGCCTGCAGCACCCTGCCCGTGGCTCAGCCCCTCGCCGTGCCCTGCTGAGGGACCCCCAGGCAGGAGGATGTGACTCAAAGGCTTCCCTGCCCTGGGCTTGCTCCCTGCCTGCAGGAGCCTTAGGCAGCCCCAGCTGACAGGTCCTGGAGGCCCCAGAGAAGATATCAGCCAGAAGGCAGCAGTGCTGGCTGATCCACTCCCGAGCCAGGCAGGGGTGGGATGCTGCGTGCCACTGACCACCCCAAGGACAATATTGTCACCTGCTGCCGGGAGTCGTGGAAGGATCACTCCACAGGGGGTCACAACAAGCCCCAGCCAGGGCAGGAGCTGGCCAGACAGGTGAGCAGCTTAGCAGGGCCCCTATGGCAGCAGAGGTGTGCAGGCAGAGCACTGCTCCCTGCTGATGGTAAGTCCTCATGTACTGGGACCTGCTGGCCCAGGGCAGTGTCCCCATACTGCTGGTGAGAGCAGCCGTAGCCTTGCTTCATCCCCCACACCTGCTGAGCACTCCCATGGGCTGGTGGGACCATGCAAGCAAAGGCAGGACGCAGCCAGGGCACCTGGCACAAGGGACAGCCCTGCTCTCCCAGGAAGGGACATACTGGAAGAAAGCAGCAGCAGCGACTGCCAGCAGCATACCAGGAGAGCAACTGGGGATGGAGACACAGGCTCTGCAGCCAGCTGTTGCCTGGCACGGGAGGAGATCACACAGATCCAGATGTTGGGATCTGACCCCACCCCCCATCACAGCAGCCTGAGCTACAAGGCAATGGCCCCACATCCCACCAAGCTGAGGGAACAGTCAGCCAGGAACCCAGGCCTCAGCGATACCCGAAAGAAGGCACTCCTGGGGGGCAAAGTGAGTCGGGGTGGGAGAGCTACCACCCCAATCCATCCCAGCAGGGCATCCCCGGGGCAGGCTGGCACACCTGGAGCCCCACGCGGTGGGGGCGGCTGCCCACGGCACAGCAGCCACGGCACCCTGCACGTGCTGCCGGATGGCGAGCACCGTCCCACGGAAAACGCCCTTCCCTCCCTCCCTCATCCCAGCTGCAGGCGAGGGCCGGGGCGTCCCGTCCCGGGCACACGCTTCCTGCCCCTCCTCTCCCGCCGCCCACTACCGCTCTGCCATAAACACGGTAATTACCGGCTGCGGCGGCACCGGCCGGGGAGGCGGCAAGGGAAAGGCGTGATTCATCCTACCAGCCCACGGCTTCTCCACCAAAAGTCCACAGTACCCATCCCCGCGGCCCCCGGGACCCTCCGGCATGGCATCACGGGGAAGCGCCTCATGGCACCCGGGTGTTCGGTACCGGTAACTCCGGGGGGTTGCACCAGCCCCGCCGCTGCTCTCCGGACCGGCGCAGCCGCTCCCTGCCCTAGCCGCACCTCGCGAAGCCCCGGGGCAGCGCGGACGCGGTGGCGCCCGCCGGCAGCCGCCAGGTGCACGGGACGGCAGGGACCGCGAGCAGGCAGCACCCTCCGTTGGCAGGACGCTGCCGAGCCCAGACCGGGGGCATCCGCCACCCCGCAGTCCTGCCCGGACAGCACTTCCCGGGAGGAGCCGGGACCTGGCAGGGCTCGGCTGGACGCGCTGCGCACCCCAGCCCTGACCCCGCACAGCCTCCGGGGCACCGGGACGGGAGCCGCCGTTCCTGTCCGCTCCCGAGGCCGCGCACCGAACCGAGATCCTCGGCGTCCGGGGACCCCGAGGGCACAGAGCGGCTCCTGGGGTTGTGCGAGGGAGGAGTTGTCCCGTGGCGGACTGCGCCCCTCCGGTGCCCACGTTCCTCCCGCGCCACCCCTAGGGGGACACGGGACCCCCCCCCCGCTCCAGTGCCCCCGATCACGGGGGTGCCCAGCCCGAACGACCCCCGCTCACCTGCTCGCTTGCGGGTGTTGCCGCCGGCCGCGGGCCGCTCCCGGCGCTGCCGCCCCACGCAGCCGCCCATGGCGGGGCCCGCCCCCGCGCACGCGCTGGCGGGGTGGGGGGGCCGGGCCGCTGCCCTGAGCGCGGGTGTCATGGCGGCGGCCGGGGCGGAGGCTGAGGCTCTCGCCGCCTCCGTCCGGGACTTCGTGTCCGGGCAGCAGGACGGCCGTGCCGCGGAGGTGGCGGCAGGTACCGCGCGGGGGCGGGGCGGGGAGGGGCGGGACGGGACTGGGCGTGGGCACCGCGGCGAGGCCGGGCTGGGCCTGGGGCGGGCGTGGGCACGGGCGCGTGGTGGCGGTGTGGGGAGGGGTTTGGGAGGAAGCGTGGGGCTGCGGGGCAGGGCAGTAAAGAGACTGGAGGCGAGGCGAGGCGAGGCGAGGCGCGGGACAGAGCGTGTCTGTGGGTTGTGAGGCTGCCGTGCGAAGCAGGGCACGTGGGAATGGTAGGGTAGGGCCTGCAGCTCGGAGCTGCCGAGGAGAGGTGCGGTAGGAGCGGGACAGCCGCGAGGGTGAGGGGTTCCAGGAGCGACGCAGATGTGGGCGGCAGAGAAAGCGACAGTGGGACGAGAGCTCTTGGTCTTGCCGAGGGACCGTGGGAGGTGATGGTTGCAGACTGCCCTCACTGTGGTTTCTCCCCCTTTCCTAGCAGGGCTTTGGCATTTGTTTCATCGGATAATTTATCCTTCTCCTCCGAACAGCAATTGGGTGACCGTTGCATTAGGGAAGCTACAGCTTCAGGAATGTGTCTTTCTGAGGCTAAGGTGATATTTTTGTGTGTGTAGGCAGTGGCTTCAGCATGTTTCAGGAAGGAACTCAGAGAGCTGAGAAGGGTTATTGTTGAGTTACATTACACACACAGGTAGCTTCTAGACCTTTCCCAAGGCCTGATGGCTTGTGAACTGCTATGTAGTGTCTTGGTGATGAGATGAGCTGGCAAAACAGAAAGCTAACCCAGTGGCCCATGTAACACAGAGTGAAGAAAATGCTGAGGAAATTTGGAGGAATTCACTAAACTGTGTGACATTCAAGTTGTTGCAGAAGGGTTACACAGTCTCTGACATGTTTAGAATATACATGGGGAAGGATAACCTTACAACAGCTGTTGTCACTTGATGTCATGTTACAGAAGAGCCGGGAGAAAGCTTTGTCTCTTTTAAGACATACAAAGATAATTGCTCCCCCCTTGCTTCTCCCAGCTCTTTTCAGCCGTGTGGCTCTTGTGACAAGCCCACCTTCCCGAACAGAGGAGCTGGCAAGTGTCCTTGAGCCCCTCTGACCTCATACAGCACCACACATCAGAAAGGATTAAATTGCATTGTGTATCCTTGAGCAGAAGGATAGGGAGGTCTTTTCTAAGCTCATGGCCATTGTGCAATTGCTGTAACAAACACATTGAGCTTCCCCACTTTGTTGCTAAGGACTAAAATGAGCATAACTTGGCAAGTGGCCTAAAGGCCTTGGTGCTGTCACAGGCAGGTTGGGCTGCATGGGTCAGTGGGTGGCAGGAGGAGGCTGAATTAATCCTAAAAATGGGGAGAGAAGGACAGTGCTGTTACAGAATCCATTACACATTCCCTGTGAATGTTGTCCTCACATTTTGAAGGTGTGGGGGAAACAAGAAGGGAAGTCCTCCAGAAGCGACCGATACTCAGAAGGACACTGAAAGGGGAGAGACCTGTCAGGAAAGAGAGCAGCTTGGTTCAGAGTAGCAATCCAGCACAGGGTGAATGGCTTGCTTCTGTTGAGTCTCTGGGGGCTACAGGAATGCCAGAATAGCCAGGCAGCCCTTCCTGGTAAAGGGATTCAAAGTGCCTGATTAACCTTGGGGCATGTGTGCTGCTGCCAGATGTGAGGCAGCAGTTTCAGGCTCACCACTGTGCCTGCCCTGCTGATGGGGCAGGTCCAGTGAGCTGTGCTGGCGCTCACTCCGTGGCCTGTGTGGTGCTGGCCACGAGCACACCACACTCACAGGCTGTGCCAGGGAGGGGTGGCCACACCGTGTGAGACAGAGCTGGTCACACCTGGGTCCCTGAGAACGCAGGGAGCGCCCTCACTGAGCTGAGCAAAGGAGCTGCTGACCTCGGGGTGTATCAGTACCTGACTGTGGTTTGGCCATCACACTGCAGCTCTTTCCTGTTGAGTAGGGAACCAGAAGCTTTGTGTAGAGCTGCTTTCAGTCTCTGCAGACACAGAGAGGCAGAGCACCTGGCCACAGAGATGGCATTTGTCTCAGACTTTTTCTGTGATGGTGCAGAGGCACAAGGGCTCTTCATGAGCTTGCAGAGCAAAATATTGGGATGCTGGATGTGGAGGGGCCATCCAGGCTCTCTCTGCAGCACACTTTGCTTTGGCTGGTGCAAAGCATCTGCTTGCTGTTTCACTGTTGTTTTTCTGCAGGAAATTTTGCCAGCACGTCATGGCTGTCTCTGAGGGCGCCCCCTTTTCAGTCTGTGCCTGTCAATTCTGAGACCTGCTGGGCTCTTTTTCCACACAACTCCCCTTATCTGTTCTCTTTCTCAGTTCAGGCTCCCTCTCCCTGCTGGGCCAGGCAGGATTGAAAGCTTTGTCTCTGGAGTCAGGACTGCCTTCTGTCAGAACACACTGTCAGAAAACACTGTCATCCCATCCCTAGAGACAGGACTATGATGAACAGTGTGTCTTAATACTGGAATTAACTGCTTAGGAAGAGACAGTAAATGCTTGCAGCAGCAGGAGACACTAGCTGGAACAAGGCCTGGGAAAGCCCATAATGAAACCTTTGGGCTTCTGAGAGGGTGAGTGCCCTGTCAGCCGTGTAGGTTCAGCAGGGCAGAGAGGTGAGCAGGTCCCTCCAGAGTGCCCAAAAGAGCCCCTGGGTAAAGACAGTGAGTCTCAGTGACTTTAATTTTTTTTTGGTGGAGGAATGCTGTTTTGTCCAGGCAGAGAGTGAGGGGTGCTGCTTGTTTACCAGCAATGTCACTTGACACCTGAGCTGCAGGTTAGGGGTCTGAAGGTAAGCCAGTCCCTTGCCTGCCAGCCTATGTCTGAGCAGAGGACATACACAGAGCTTTCCTTCTGGGGAGGTGCCACATTGGCAGTGGGTGGCAGGAATGGAGAACCTGCCCTTCTGCCAAGGTTCTTGTAAGGTGCAGCAAGCAGGTCCTTACCAAAGCCTCCTGAGGAGTGACTCTTCCCCCAGTTGAATTGCAGGAGTACAGAGGCAGTAGGTGAATGAGGCAACCTGGCAAGGAATTTGAGTCAGAGTTGGAAACAGACTCCAGGAATCTCAGCATTTTATCTTCCTCTGACCACAAAACTGCCTTTCCCTGTGCCCTCCATCTTGGAAGAAGTTAGTGCAGTTCTTGCACAGTGTGGAGGTGATGGAGCCAAGGTGGGAAGCTGAGTGATCCCTAATGTCTGCGCTGCTTGTTCAGCCACTTCTCCCTCTGGAAGCACCTGGAGAGCTGCCCTCTGTCTCTTCACAGCATGCTCACATTAGAGAAGGGGGTTTTAGTATCTCAGAGAAGTGGAGCACAGCAAGACCTCTCTTAGGAGCCACACACAGCCATGCTTCAGGGAGAGGCTGAGGCAAAGTGGAGACAAGTTCTCCCCTGGCTGTCTGCTCTCAGTCTCAGAGGTGTTTGCAGGCAGGGCTGGAGGCAGCCCCACTAGTTGAGTGCACGTGGCTCCTTTGGTGCTTGGTGAGGAGTCAGCACTGACCGGCCGTTCCCAGGGCAGTGCTGGGATGTGTCGCAGCATCCATCTCCAGCAACATGCCTGCATGATCTCTGGTTCACTCTCTTTACCTCCTTTGTCCAGGGGTGAAAGATGGAAGGTGGACAGTGCTGCAGCTTGTGGAAGCCCTGGGGTAAGAAAAGCCTTATGCAAGTTATACATTGGGTAAGGGCCTTGCAGGGGACATTCCCAGAAGGAGGATAGTGAGAAGGACAAGTGTGCTCATCCAGGATGAGCTTCAGCTCTGGATGACACATTGCAGTGGGTAGGATGTTGTCTGCTCGCAGTGTGGGGCTTGAGCAGTGCTTTGCCCTCCCTGGATGTGGGAGCTCTTTGGGAAAGAGCAAGGCCAGAGCAGCTCTTGATGCTCTCCCAGGACAGAGGAGAGATGTTGTGGCAGGCAGCATGCTGCAGGGCACTTTTCAGTTGGGGCTACCCCAGCAAGAGCTGCCTGAGCACACAGCTGCACAACACCATGTCACAGGTTGGCTGGCACTCAGCTTCTGCAAACTGTCCATGGCCTAGGCTCATTTCTCCCAAGATGGGGGCTGGGTTTGCCTCACTGCAAGAGGCTTTATCCTTTTTGATCCTTGTGATCTTGGGAGCATGGTGCAAGAGCAATTTCTTTGATCTGACTTGAGAACTTGGATTTCTTTCTGCATGGTTCCGGGGCTGAGTGCACACATGCAGCACAGACAGGGGGAGAGGAGTCTGTTTCCATGCCAGCAAGTCAGGCATGGTTGGGCCCACAGAGGGGCACCTCTTTGGTTTTGTAATGTGCCTGCTCAGGATGTGCTTCCTGCTTGGATGTACCTGCTCACAACAGGCTTCTTGGGCTTTCTCCCCTCTTGGCCTAGGTTTTGCCTGGAGAACACAGATCCTCGGATGCGAGGGCGAGGCATCCAGCTGTTGTCACAAGTCCTGCTCCAGTGTTACTCCCTACTCCAGGAGAAGGAAGGTAAGGGCTTTTCTGACCCTTGAGTGTCTGGCTGGGGACAAAGCCTGTGCCATTAAAATGTCTGTCCTGCAATTGGCAAAGGGATTGATTTAACACTGTGACAACCTTGTACATGTCTCTAAGAGTCAAAGTCCAAAGTCCATGAAGCTTTGCGCTGCAGCCTTTTAGCCAAACTCACCACACAATTTAGGTCACTGTCTGAATACACCAAATTGCTGGACAGCTGGGGCCCCTGACAGTGCGTGGGCGTTGCACACCAAGGTGTGCTCAGTGCCACGTGGGACACATTGGGGATACATCTGTATGTCAATCCTTGGGTGGTGACTCCGAGCAGGAAGACTGTCCTTCACACACCAAGTCACGCTGCAGCCCTGCAGCCTGACCAGATTAACTCAGGAGGAATCCTGAGGCCTGGGGAGGAGGGGAGATCAGTGTAAGGATGAGAATGGACTGGGGTGGGGAGGGGAAGATGCCATGTTCATGGAGGCAAGGAGAAGGTCTGCCTCTGTTAAACGCCCCATAGCAGCTGGCTGGCAACAGGGAAAGCCAGTAAGTGCTAACAAACTTTGGCTTTGGCTTGGGCTTGGGGGTCTTGCAGATGGGAAGCTGAACTTATGCTGGCAGGCTGGCTATACAGGGGGCCCAGCTAGTAAGTAAGGTGGAGGGAGGATAAAATTAAAAGATGCTTAGTCCTTGGAATTTGGCTGTCTTTGGCTGGAGCCAGGCAGGGCTGAGAGCAGCTGTGCATAGAACCTTATCTACTGCAGTAGCTGGAGACGGGTGTGATGACTGATGGGAATTGGGGTGCTCTGGAGGGGCAGCCAGAAGTGGGGAGGTTCAGTGGGGATACTTGAAGGAGAAAAGAGACTCAGGGCAATTGAGCAAGGGGAGTGAGCTATGTTAGAGCCTCGTGTCACTGCTCACGCAGGTAATTTCTCAAGCGCTGCGTCAGGCTGCCTCCTGGGGGGCTGAGTTTCTGCAGCAGCTGTGGGCACAGGATGCTGCTAGCCGGCTCTTCCAGTCTGCTTCCTGCTGCCACTCCCCAGGGCTGGGGTGTGCAGGCGCCCGTGGCCGTGACTCAGGGGCCAGGAACGTGTTGTGGAGCCAAGTTGGAGGAAGCCAGAACTCCTGCCCCTGCTCTGTACCCCACCCCATGACATCCTCCAGCCTCTGCTGAGCAGACTGCCACTCTGCTGCTGGTGTCTGCATCCACATGTCTGGACAGGCCAGGGCAAATGCCTCTTGGGTAGCTCCAGCACTTCTGCAGCAGCCAGAGGTGGCTGCTGCCCTGCTGCAATTAGGTGTGGGCTGCTTACAAGAGGAGGGCAAAGGTGTTGGAGCCAGGTGGGTGCACCCAAAAGCAGCAGTTTGTCCCATTCACCAGTGCAAGATGTGCTCACTCTTAATCCATCAGCTTATGGTTGAGCTGGGGCCAGCACCCAGCAACTGCGTTTCCTTGGGCTAACACACATGGGTGTCTGTTTCTGACAGTGCTGCATCTGGTCCTGTTCTATGAGAGCCGGCTGCAAGATAATCACCTAGTGATTCCCTCGGTGCTCCAGGGACTCCGGGCACTGGTGAGCTTACACCCCCAGCCCACAGTGCTGGGATGCATTCCCCTGCAGTGTCAGGGAGGTGCAACACCTGGGTATGGGTTGGAGCACTGTGTCGAGCAGGGCCTGGCTGGGCTGTCAGCCCATCTGGCAGCATTGCCCTGTCTCCTCTCTTCTGCTGTGCCTCTTGTGGAGGAGCTGGGGACAGGAGACTGCCTTGATTTTGTGCCCTGTATTGGGTAGTGGGGCAAGGATTCCCTGGCCACCCTGGGGAGCAGCACAGATGATGGGCATCTTATCCTGTTCTGTCTGGGGAGGGGGTGGTGAGCTCTCCCTGTTGTGGAAGAGGATCTTTTAGGCAGCTGCCACATGGAGGCAGGAGATCTGTTATGTGGCTGCCATCATGGTATTCTACTCTTGCTTTTCTCTTTCTGTCCCCAGAGCATGTGTGAGGTCCTGTCCCCAGGGCTAGCAGTGTCTGTGCTCAAAGCCATATTCCAGGAGGTACATGTGCAGGTGAGCAATGTGATTTCCTATCCTCCTGTCCTTGATCTCTGCTCCCTGTGTGTCTGGGGATGGCCTACCTGCCCTGAGGACTGGCTACATTTAGCACAGTACAATGCTTCTGCAGAGCTCAGAGACAGCTTGGCTCACTGCAAGAGAGACTGTGAGAGACAGACAGCAGCCAAGAATCCTGTTTGGCCCTTGTCCTCTCTTTACTCAGCCCTAGGGGAATTATTTCCTTTTGTTCCATTCTCTGTGTTTAAGTGTCCCCAGTCCAATTCTCCTCACATGTAAGATTGTTTTTGCTGGCAGTGCCTTGGGCAGCATGCATGGCCCTGGTGTGACTGATAGTGCATTCATGCAGTGATGGGACAGAGTCATGTCCATGTGCCATTGCATAGGCACGTGCATGCTTTGCATGTGATAAATGGGATCTCTGTGCAAGGAAGCAGCAGCTGAGCTGCTGGGGGTCCTGCTCTCTCAAGGGTGTGTCTTGCCCATGGGGTAGTGGGTAGCTGTGCTGCCATGTGTAGAGGATGGTTTTGATTGGTCTGCTCCTCCCTTCAGTCCTTGCTGCAGCTGGACCGCCACACAGTCTACAGCATCATCACCAACTTCATGAGCACCAGGGAGGAAGGTGAGGGGGCAGATGCCAGAGCCACTCTGGGATTGTTGAAGCTGGGAAAATGACTCACTTTCACTTTCTCCAAGGGCTCTGTGACTCTGCCTGGGAGACCTGGAAACAGACTGTGGGGCTGGGGCAACTTGGCTGATTTAATGCCGTGTTGTAAGGTCTGATGTCCTGCACCTGCTCACACTCCTTCTTTCTGCAGAGCTGAAGGGCCTGGGTGCCAACTTCACCTTCGGCTTTATCCAGGTCATGGATGGGGAGAAGGATCCCCGCAATCTGCTGGTGGCCTTCCAGATTGTGCATGATCTCATTGCTAAGGACTATGCCCTGGGTGAGCCTAAACCTGCTGCTATACAGAGCTGACTGGGAAACATATCCTTTTTCTTTGAGCTGTTGGAGAGATGGCTCTTGTGTCTGACTAGAATGGGGTGGTTCCTAACATGTTTTAAAAGCTGCAGAGCTGGCCTACTGTGGGTGCTGAACAGAGCTGCTGTGCCTTTTTTGCCCAATATCTTTGCTCACCCCCTCTCTTCTGTCTGCAGGTCCCTTTGTGGAGGAGCTGTTTGAAGTTACATCCTGCTACTTCCCTGTTGATTTTACTCCAGTGAGTGAGTCTGCCATGTGCCACAGCCTATTCTTTGTTTCTTTCTGGTGTTTTCCTAGGGGATTATGTCCTTTCCAGGGAATGGGATGAGAGGGTGGCCAAGGGTCTTGGCTGGGCAGTGTTCAGCTGTGGTACCAGGCTGACAGGCTGGTGCCAAGCTAGCTGCATTGACTAGTGCTGCTGCTGCCATGCTGGAGATGAAATGATGCAGCCTTGGCTGGTGGCTGGGTTGGGATGTTTCCTCAATGGTGGGTGACCTGCTCTCTGCTTCCTTTCCAGCCCCCCAATGATCCTCATGGCATCCAGAGGGAAGACCTGATCCTGAGTCTCCGGGCTGTACTGGCCTCCACAACCCAGTTTGCTGAGGTACAAAGCTCATTGGGGATTCATTGTTCCCTTAGCACAGGCTGCCTTTCGTAGTGCTGCAGCTCCTGCTGTAACTCTGTGGAATGGGAAAAACTGGGATCAGGATCTTGCACTTGGGCAGCCCTGTCTCCTGCTGGGGCTGGTCATGGGGAGGGTGCTGACTGACACCCTGGGAAGGGGCTGCCTGTTGCAGACACCCCTTCCTGGCAGAGGCTGAACTTGCAGCCTTGCAGGGCCATGGACAAGGTGGTACAAGGGATGGGCTGAATTAAAGTGTTTCTCTCTGCAGTTCCTTCTCCCTCTGCTTATTGAGAAGTTGGACTCAGAACTGCAAAGTGCCAAGCTTGACTCGCTGCAGACTCTGGTAAGGGGAGATCCCCTACTCCTTTCAGCCTACAGCTGATCTGTGGCAGCAGCAGCTGCCAGCCACTTCTGAGCCCTTCTTCCTGCCAGCCAGAGACTCTCACTTGCAGAACCACAATTTCCAGAGTTGTGGTTCAGTCTGCATCACTCTTTCCTGTTTTTCTTGAGTGATTTGTGCAGCTCAGCATGAGCCTTCCAGAATGGGCAGTGTCCCGGCACCGTGTCCCCCTGGTACTGGCTTCTCTGTGATGCTTTCTCCTGGCTCCCTCTTGCAGACTGCCTGCTGTGCCATCTATGGGCAGAAGGAGCTGCAGGAATTCCTTCCCAGCCTCTGGTCATCCCTGCGCAGAGAGGTGAGTACTGCCGGGCTCCCCCTTGGCTGGGCTTCTGCTGAGCAGGAGTTCTCAACCAGACCGGGAGGGCCCCATATCTCCCAGCTGTCCACACCTGTGACCTTGGATTGCCCCAGCTGAAAAGTGGAGGGGACAGGCCAGCCATATCAGTATGTCCGTGTGGCTTGAATGTGGCATGCTGCGTGTTCAAATCACGTAGGAGCCTGAGCTCTTCGGCCTGCATTGGGAACCTGAAGCCTGTGCTTGTTGTCAGCAATGGAATTCAGCTCATCCTATGGCCTTTCCTCCAGGTGTTCCAGACAGCAAGTGAGAAGATAGAGATGGAATGCCTGGCTGCACTGCGTGCCCTCTCTGCCTGCCTCTCCCGCTCCGTGCTCAGCTCTGATTCTGAGGATCTGCTGGATTCCTTCCTCAGCAGCATCCTGCAAGGTAGCTAACAGAGACCTGCCCCATGCAGCCAGGCCTGAAAGCATCCTCCTAGGTAGAGATCTGCCTTCCTCTTCACTTTCAAGCCTCTTTTCTTTCTAGTCCTCACAGCAAATTTTGGCTTCTCCAAGGTAATTGGCTGCAGGAAGGGAGGACAAGGGAATTGAGCTGCTTCCATCTCTGCTGGAACTGCACTCTGTGTGCTTGGAGCTGTGGGAAGCTGCTCAGTTGAGGAGGCTGTGCTGCAGCTCAGAGCTGCGCCCTGGCAGCACGTTGCAGCCCCGCTATCAGCTGTGTCCTGCACGCGAGGCAGAGGAGCTCTGCGCCGGTGCAGCTGACGCCCAGCCTATCTCAGATTGCAGGCACCATCTGTGCGAGCCCGACATGAAGCTGGTGTGGCCCAGTGCCAAACTCTTGCAGGCAGCAGCGGGTGCCTCCCTCCGCACCTACCACCGCATCACCCACAGCGTCCTGCCCCTGCTGCTGGAGCAGTACACCAAGCACACACAGGTGAGAGGCACCCACTGGCTCCACAGGGCCTGGGGGCAGCAGGGTGTCTGAGAGGATGTCCTTCCTGTGGGAGTGTGGGTAGAGACCCCATGGGCACCCTGTGGCCTCACAGTGCTAGGCTGAGGTGCAGCTCTGTTGCAGCAGTGACGGTGATCTGGGTTAAACCTTTGTGTCCCTGCAGAGCAGCCAGAGGAGGACAATCCTGGAAATGCTGCTAGGCTTCCTGGAGTTGCAGCAGAAGTGGGGACATGTGGAAGAAGGTGAGGGTGACTGGTCCCTCTGGAGGCATCTGCGTCCCAAGGGCTGCTGGCTCTGACCTCACTTTCCTGTATGTTGACATACAAGGAAAACTCCCAGTGTGGCTGCATGTGTGAGCCCCCGCCACGTGCCAGGGACCCTGCATGATTGGATATCAAATGCAGCACCCCAGAAAGGGTCTGTCAAGTGCTGTGATGGTGGCTGTGTGGTGACAGCCAGACACTGGCAGTGATTCCATGCCCCTCTCTCCAGATGAGAGCACTCTGCTGTCGCTCCAAGGCCCGGTTTGCTCTGTGGTGTTCTCGGCGCTGCTGGATTCCAGTGTGCAGCTGCAGCTGGTTGGGATCAAGGCACTGACTGTCCTGGGCTCCCTGCAAGGTTGGTGCCTTTTTTCCCTTGGGACAGAGGGAGGTGTCACTGTGTTCTGAGACACAGTGGCTGCTGGGACATCCTTGCCTGCTGCCTGTAAGGGCACAGGAGTAGCAGCAGCATGTTCTACCCAAGCCATGAGCTCCAGGGACATTTGGTCTCTCTCTTGCCTGTTTGTGCTGGGCACCTTTTATCTCTGGCATTTGGTGTGCTGCTGCATTGCTGCTGGCCTGGATGAGGAGGAAGGATTCTGTCCAGCATCTCTGCCTTTGGCCAAGGGTAGGATTCCTCTATGGCTCTTGTTACAGGCTTCCTGTCTTCCTCTGATCTGGAGCTGGTTGTGGATCACCTCATCCGTCTTGCTCTGCATGAGGAGGATTCCCAGAGCAGGTGAGGTGCATCACAGAGTCGCCCACACTCTGGGAAGAGGAACAAAGCCTGGCTTTGCTGCAGAGAGGGTCTGTAGTCTGAGGGAAAGCATAGGAACTCTCTGAACAAGACTACATGGAATAAACCAGACAATTCATGGGCTGGAAATAAGAAAGTCTGAGCCTGTCAAAGCAGGGCTTCTGCTCTGCCTACCTGATGGGGGGGAAAAAGGCAAGTTGCTGAGAAATGGGGTTCTGGAGACACCTTCTGGCCAGGTCTGTGCAGCTGGTGTACAAGCAGCCCTGGATTTGCAGTCCTTGCATCACCTTTTCCACTCTCTTTCCCCCTGGCAGTGAAGCAGCGATGGAGGTGGCTGGGTCCTTGGCCCCCACCTACCCAAAGGTTTTCTCTGGACACATGGTACCCAGGCTTGAAAAGGAGCTGCAGTCAGGTAGGGCTGGGAAAGGAGTGGTTTTGGGGTAAAGCCTTTCCCATCCCCATTGGGCTCCTGCCAGGCAGTGGGGCTGTGTTGTGTAGGTCGGTGGCTATCCTTGGGGGATTCCCAATGCAGGCACTGTGTGCTGGCACAGGGAAGGCTGTGGTTGGTCTGGTAGCCAGCCTGTGTGGGGCCAGGACCACCCTTGTGGGAAGGAGCTGCCCAGCTGCAGAGCAGGCAGAGTGCCTTGAGCCTGGCATGGGCTGGGTCTGCTGTGCTGCTTCACCCCATCCACCCTGGCAGGGTCTGAGCCCTGACTGTCCTTGGGTGGGGTGTCCCCAGGTCCCCCTCTGAGGTGTGTTTCCTCTTCAGAGCGGGAGGAGAGCTACCACAACTGCCACTCCTTGCAGCAGCGCTGCCTGCAGGCCCTGGCAGCTGTGTCCACCCACACCAGCATCGTGAAGGAGACTGTCCCCATCCTGCTACAGCATCTCCAGAAGGTGCTGAAAGGTAATGGAGCTCCTGCAGGTAGCTCCACAGAGCAGTGTCTGGGCAGGAGCTTCCTCTGTTACTGGTGGTGGCTGGGAGAGAGCTGGAATGGGAGTGGTACAAGGAATCCACACCTGGGCTGTGAATCCCACTGGTGGAGTGGGAGTCAGAAGAGCTGCATTGTCCCAGGATCCTGGTGCAGATCAGGGGGCTGGGTGTTGAGGCTGTTTGACTTGGTGGTGACTCTGCCCTGCAGGGACTGAGGCCAAGAACACCCAAGACATGATCTCTGTGTGCCAGAGCCTGCACCGCGTGGCCCTGCAGTGCCAACAGGATGCCGAGGGCTGCTGGTACTTCCACCAGACAGTGGTGCCGTGCTTGCTGGCCATGGCTGTGCAGGCAGCCATGCCAGGTAAGCGCAGGGCTGGAGTGGGAAAGGGGAGAACAGGCAATGCCTGGGCTCTCAGGGATCCTTGATCCTGCAGTCAGTGCTGCTGCTGATGCCTTTTGGCATCCATGGCCCTCAAGAGTGGGGTGCACTGCTGCCTGCCCTTGTCCCAGAGCCCTGCCCCACTCTGGTGTGTGTTCAGGGGGCTGTGCCTGCCTCCTCCTTCTGAACAGCAGGCTCCAGCAAGTTTCATTCCTCCCACTACCTGCAGAGAGCACCCATACACTGCCAGGCAAGGCACTGCTGGAGGAAGAGGTGCTGGCTGCCATGATCCCAGTCATCAGTGCTGCCACCACTCACCTGAGCCCTGAGTGAGTGAAGCTGGGGCAGGCAGCTGGGTGCTCCATCGTGGGGAGGGAGCAGGCTGCATGCCCCCTGCTACTATCTGTACAGGGTGACCCTGTGCCTCCTGGGAGGTCTCCGGTGACCTTTCCAGAGCAGCACATTACAATGTCTTTTCCTAGGCTGGCTGCCCAGAGTGTGTCTCATGTGGTGCCACTCTTTCTGAAAGGAGATGTCTCCTTCCTACCCCAAAACAGTTTTCCCTGCTCCTTCCAGCCTTTCGGGGTATGTTTGGTGATTGGGGCTGGGGCACCAGAATGGGCCAGCAATGAGGATATTTGCACAGGCTGGTAGCAAGGACTGTGATGACATGGACACCGTTCTTCCCTTGCAGGATGGGGAATGCTTGGAGGCACAGAGACGCCTGGTTGCCCTCCTCATGGCCTTCGTCTGCTCCTTGCCCCGTGATGTACGTTGATGGGGAGCAGGATGGAGAGGAGCCTGCTCAAGCACCCTCCAGCCTCTGTCCACACCAAGCTCCATGGACAGACAGAGGGAGCAGCTGCAGCCCTGGGCCATAACACGTTCTGTGTCTCTTCCAGGTGGCAATTCCTCAGCAGGAATGGCTGCTCCGGGAGCTGCTGGCATTGAGCTGTTCCTGCAACTGTCCGTTCACAGCCACCACAGCTGCCAAGTGCTTTGCAGGGCTGGTGAACAAGCACCCAGCAGGTAAGGGGGCTGGGGCAGATGCCAGGTGTCCCTGCCCACTGCTGACAGGAGGAATGGCTCAGCTTATCCCTTCCATTCCCAGGGCAGCAGCTGGATGAAATCCTGCAACTTGCAGTGAACAGGATGGAGCCCAGCCTTGCGGAGGGGCCCCGCCGAACACAGGCACTCACCTTGCTGCTCTGGGTAAGGCCTGCCCTGGATGAGGGGGGCTGGGGGACCCAGACTGGCACTGACTGTTCTACCTGCACAGGTGACCAAAGCCCTGGTGCTGCGCTACCACCCCCTGAGCTCTTGCCTGACAGACAAGGTAGGTGGTAGTGAGGCTGGATGGTGACTAAGAAACCTGCCTTGCTCCCCCATGGCTGGCTGGGGACCTCCAGGATCAAGGCATTCCATCTCAGGGCTCTCTCCCTTGCAGCTGCTGGGCCTGCTGGGTGACACGGAGCTGGGCCCTGCCACAGCTGATGGCTTCTCCTTGCTCATGGCCGAGTCCCCGGACGTGCTGCACAAGGGCTGCCATGCTGATGTGCGCATCATGTTCCGCCAGCGCTTCTTCACTGACAACGTCCCCAAGCTGGTGCAAGGCTTCCATGGGGCTGGCCCCGGTGAGTGGCCACCCCCAGCCCAGCCTCACCACTCCTGACCCTTTAACCAGGGAACCTGAGCCAGCATCTCCTCCTTCTTCAGGCTGCTTGTAATCATCTCTGCTCTCCACAGATGTGAAGGCCAATTACCTGAAGGGCCTGTCGCATGTGCTCAATCACCTCCCCAAACCTGTGCTGGTGACAGAGCTACCCACGGTAAGAGCCAGCCAGGGTGGCAAGCAGGGTGAGCTGTGACATTGTGGAGTGCATGATTTACGGTTACTCGTTACTCCTGTGTTCTCCCTCTCTCTGCAGCTGCTTTCCCTCCTGCTTGAGGCCTTGTCCTGCTCAGATCGTGTAGTACAGCTCTCCACACTGAGCTGCCTCCACCCACTGCTGCTCGAAGCTCCCCAGATTATGAGCCTGCATGTCGACACACTGGTCACCAAGTTCCTCAACCTCACCTCCAGCCCCACCATGGTGCGTGCACCCCCTCCTTCCTCCCTGCTATGCCCCTCTCTCGTGCCCCTTGTGCTGCCCTCATCCCTGTCTGTTCCAGGCTGTCCGCATCGCCGCCCTGCGCTGTGCCCACGCCCTTACCAGTCTGCCCACAACAGTGGTAAGTGCTTCTGCAGCACCCTGCTGCCTGCTCCTGCATGTAGAGGTGCAAGGGGCTCCCAAACCTCTTGGGCAGCCAGCATCCATTTCTCTCACAAAGAGCCCCTTGTGTCCTACAGCTGCTCCCATACAAGGGCCGAGTTATCCGGGCACTGGCCAAGCCTTTGGATGACAAAAAGAGGCTGGTGCGGAAGGAAGCAGTGGCAGCACGTGGAGAATGGTGAGTGTGTGGAAGTAGCTGCTGAGGGGGTGCCAGTGTGTAGGGGACATGGCTGATGGCACCATCTCTGTCCCTGTAGGTTCCTGCTCGGGAGCCCAGGCAGGTGAGCACCCTGTGTCCCCTTTCTCCGTTGACCAACAGTCTGACCAGCGCCTTGCTAAGCCTCCAAGTCATCTGACCAAATGCCACGGACCCTCTGGATCCTGAGAGCCCAGCACTGCCCCGAGTGCTAGGGCTGGAGCATGCAGGCCAGCAGACAGCACCCCTCACTGCAGTCCCTTCCCAGCACCCACAGCAGGGAAGGAGCTATGCTGCTTGTGGCTTGCCCACCCTCTGCTGCTGCCAGGGACAGTGATGGACAGCCCCTGCCACATGTGAGTGGAGAGGACAGGTCTGTGCACACATGTGGTGTGTGACAACCCATGTACCAGAAGAATAAATACATCTGTTTTGATAATGCTCTGAGGGTCTCCATGCAGCTCAGTATGGGTCCTCAGTGCTCTTCTGTGTGTTCAGCAGCTTAAGACACTGCTGGTTATAGACCCTTCCTCCTCTTTTAACCTTGTTGTCCCTCTTCTGCCATCCCCAGAAGTCCATGTCCTCCACAAGATAACAAAAACAGACTCCCTTAAAAAAAAACAGTATTTAGTAGATGATCTTAAAAAGACTCCCCAGGGAGCACGTGGGGGTGGCATCCTCTGCGCCCAGCCCTTCAGAGAGCTGAGCTGGGCCAATGCTGGCCCGTACCTGTGCTCATGAGGGCAGCACCGTCCAGCTGGAGCAGGGAGCAGTAGCTCTGCCACCTCGCCCCTGGGCTGCCTGCAGCCACCAAGAGCCAAGAGGGCAGGTGTCCAGGCACCAGCGCTGTCCACAGTTTCCCGTAGCTCTGGCTCCAGTCAGTGATATGTGCCAGCCTTCTGCCAGGCACTTTGGCCAAAGGAAGCTGCAGTGGTGGAGTGGGTTCCCCATTGCACTCCCCTGCCTGTGGAAGGGATGTCCAGAGCACAGGGCCTCAGATGGCCAGGAGTGGCGTGCGTTGCTCCGTCACACAGGGAGGCAGGTCCCAGCTCAGGCCTGTCCCGTGGGGCAGGTGAGGAGAGGGCAGCAGGACACGGGTGAGCCAGTGCCTGTGGGGAAAGTGAGGCCACGGCCAAAAGGTGAAGTCTTGGTGCTTCTCAGCTCTGAGGAACCATATCCTGAGCTGCCACAATGGCTGAGCTCCTCAGCTCAGATTCTCTTGGCAAAGGTGTGCTGGGCACACAACTTTGTCACCAGACAGGGCTCCTCAGGCACAAGGCCAATAATGTCCACGTCTTCCACACCTTACGAAGCCCAGTGCAGTGCAGTGTGGGATCAATGTTCACTGTTCTCCTCCCCCAGCAGCCCAAGGAGAGCCCCTGTTGTCCCTACAACCCCAAGAGCTGCTGAGCCACCACCTTCTCAGGCAGGGGCTTCCCCAGGATTTTACCTTGGCACATCCACACCCAGGAACACCTTCCAATTATCCCAGCTGCCGTAACTGTAGGGGTTCCTGAAGGCCTGCAGGACAGGGAGAGGCACATCACGTCTGGCTCTGCCCCAGCCAGCCCCCGTGCCATTGGCTATGCTCACCTTGCCTTTCTTCTGCAGTCTCTGCCTCTCCTTTCTGTTGATGTGCCGTTCGATGCTCGTTTCCCCACGGGTAATGAGGGCAGCGTGCCACAGCGTCAGGGCACCCAGGGCCAGTGCAACCGAGCTAGTTATGACAAGGGACAGCAGGTGGAACACAGGCCTTCCTTCCCTGGCACTGCAGCTGGCGGGGGCTGAGGCTGCCTCCCCGCACCCACAGCCGCGTAAGTGGGTCGGCTTGTCTAATCTCCTGTGACGGAGACAAAATCTCTCCTTCTCTGTGGCCCAAAGGCTGGCAGGGCAGCAACATCTGTGCTAGAGTGAGCAAGCCCAGCTACAGGCAGGTAGATGGTGAGTTATGTCACAGCTTGACTGTTTTCCCCAGCCCCTGGGCCCCCTCACCTGCACAGGACCCAGAGGTAGACCACGCTCTTGTGGAAAGCTCTCTGGCGGAAGGAGAAGGTGGGTGGTGGGGTCTGGTAGTATGTCTGGAAAAGGACCAGAGAGGGAGGATTACCCAAACTGCTTTACAGCTTGAAGCCAGACAGGGATCTCTGCACCCCTCCCTGCTGCAGAGCTTGGACAGCAAGAAAGGATTGCAGCTGGAACTAATGCAACAGCCAGGGCAAGGGGGAGGCAGTCTGGGACAGCCACGAGACAGACAGACAGACACCTAGAGCTGGCACAGGTGTGAGGAACAGTGGGCTGGAGGTAAGGGGGCAGGGAGCAGCCATGGGCCTGGTCAGGACACTGCAGCTTGTGGTCATGGTGAGATGTGTATGTAGTGCTGCAGTTTCACCAGGAGACCATGGCCTGAGCAGCACATGCCAAGAAGCTGTCACCAACCCAAGCCCCTGGAAGCTGGGTGCAGAGAGGCAGACCCCAAGCTGCTGGAGGCACTGTCCATAGCAGAGCTGCCTGACCAGCCCAGCTCTCTGACATGTGAGATGAACATGGGGGCTGGTTCTGATGTGGGGTGCTCCTTGAGAACAGAGCCCCAAGCAGGACCCAGCCTGCACGGCAGCTCTGCTCCACACTGCCTGGAGCAGCTGGGGGGCAGGGATGTCCCACCTGGTTGGCAGCCACCTGCAGTCTCTCCTTCTCAAGCAGTTTCATTCTCTAGGGGGATGGAAAACAGGGCACCAGTTATGTGTCTCAGAGGAGCGGGACAGGGACCTTTCCCCTCACACCCCCACAGGACCAGAGCAGCTGGGGGCCTTGCAGGAGGAGGAAGAGGGGAAGCAAAGTCACTAGAGGGCTGGGCCTGGCCCAGCCTTGCTCTGCAAGCTCAGCCTGGGGAAGCCAGGCAGCCTTGGTGCATGGCAGGAGAGGCTGCTCACCTCAATGGCTGCGTAGGCATCCCGGAACATCTCCCAGCCGCTGATGCTGCAGTAAATGCAGCCCATGGTCATGAACAAGCAGAAAGAGAAGAAGTAGCGGTGGTTGTAGTGTCCCACACAGTTGTTTAGCCAGGCTGCCTCTGGGGTTAAAGGTACGTAACTGTGACAGACCACAGGTCCAAACCCAACCCAGTGACCAGGGCAGTTCTTCTGGGCCCTGCTCCCATCACCCATTCCTATGCTGGCTATCTCCTTGAGAGAAGGGACTGGGAGAGAAGGGGGAAGCAGTGCTGGATCCCCCCAGGAGTGTGCCACTGGTTAGTACTGCAGAAGGATACGGCAGTGATGGTCCATCTTCAGCACACACCTGGGAGAGAGGAGACCAGTGCCAGTGTCAGAGCCAGGGCAAGTGGTGTGTTTGGGAGGGGACAGGCACCCCCCAGCCCTGCAGGCTGCAAGCGACAGGGTGAGGAGGTGGCAGAGCAGAGGAGAAGGGCCCCTGTCTCACACTGGGGCAGGGGGTGAGGAACAGGGCGCCAAAGGCTGCTCCAGGCAGAGGGAGGGTGTCCTACCTGTTGCAGATGCTGCAGTGATGGGTGCGAGCTGGCTTAGGGGCAATGCATTTCCTGCAGATGGACACACCAGTGAGGTCGTTCTTGGCCTGTGCACAGGTCAGAAGAGATTTGTTCATCTTAAACCCTGTATCTCACACTCCTGCCCTCCTCCGCTGCCTCCCCACTCTGCACTGCCCAGCCTAGCCTCCCCAGTTTAGAGGCATCCTGCAACCACATAACCAGGCTGTTCCCAGGGACCAGTTGTAGCTCACTTGGTGCCTCACCTGTGGTGGGTGCCCAGGTGAAGTGGTGATAGCCATGTAGTAGTGGAAGACAATCATGATGAGGTTCCAGTGTCCATAGGCGAGGTGCCAGCATATCCAGGCAGGTGTGTAGGTCTGCAGGATGAGGGGCAGCAGGCAGATGTACACGATGGCCACAATAGAGCTCGTCAGCCCAATCACCAGTGCCACAAACACCTACAGGAGAGGGACCCAGGTCACTGGAGTGGGCAGCGCCTGCCCCTTGCTGCCTGGAAAGAGGCACGAGCAAGACAGAGCCAGAGGAAACCAATCTGAACCACACACAGGTCCCAGCTCACTTCCTGCCTGAAGCAGGCAGCCCTGAGCCCGTTACCCCAGCACCACGCGTACCCTGCCCCATGAGGGGGACTCACCACACCAAACCACCGGGTAACATGGTCCACCAGCCAGTAGACCGGCTCGAAGAGAGAGTCAAGCACCACATCGCCGTTGGTGAAGGAGTTGTAGAGCAGGGAGCGGAGGCAGAGGTGCCCGTAGTGCCACAGCTGCTCCACGTGCCGCACCAGCTTGAAGCGCCGCCGCCGGCCCAGCCGCAGGCACTTGAGGAGCAGGCGCATCACCGCGGCAAACATCCGCTGCCGGCTCCTCATCCCTGCCGCACCACGCCTGGGGGGACAGGAGCTCGGCGTGGGCAGGCCACCCTGCTGCCTGGCTGTCCCTCGGGAAGGATTTCCCCTCCCTGACGCGCTGGTGGCGGTAGTGCAGCTCCCTGAACTGACAAGGATGCCGAGCCGGAGAAGCTGAGCCCAGGCTCCTGGAGGCTGCGGGGCCGCTGTCGCCGGGATGTCTCTTTGCACGGAGCAGGGGGCACAGGCCCCTCAGCATCTGGGCTCAGGTGCTCTCTGGTCCCATCTCGTCTTTCCCAGCGGGGAGGGGGCCGGGGGAGTGACACGGAGAGTCTGACTCAGAGGAAACCAGAGAAGGCATGAACATCCAGGATGCTGGGCCATTTCCAGAGATGATTTCAGCCCTTCCCAACATGTTCATGAACAGGGGAGTCCACACAAGGAAAATGTGGATGAGCCAATACAGGATTACCCCTCCTCCACTAGTCCCTCCTTAAAGTGAAGGATGCTACTTCCCTTCACCTCAACTTCTGGACCAAGTTGCAGAGGCCACCCTCCCAATCTCACAGCCTCACTCCAAGAGTCCCAACACTTCCTCCTTCTCCTCGCCTGGATCCTTGAACAGTGCCACACACCAGCAAACGAGAGGCCCAGGGACAGCCCCTGGCCAGTGCCCCCCTGCCTGCTGAGCCCCTTGTCCTGCCTGAGAGCTTTGCTGGGAGTGACGAGGAACCTGATCTGGCCCAGCACGTGGGAAAACGATCTGCAGGGCTGGGGCCCCCAGGTCTCCGTGCAGGCAATACCCATCAATATTAAGCAGTAAGGCTGCCCCAGGGTCCTGCCAAGGCACGTTCTGAGCCTGGGCCAAGCACTCGTCTTGGTCTGGTGCCAGGCACCGGTGCCAGAGCTGAGAGTCCCTCCAGCAGGGATCATCCGTCTGTGCTGCTGTGCCCACCAACACAGCCCCTGGGGAGCAGCAGGGAGGGTGAGGGCAGAAGCTGCACTATCCAGATGGGCTGCCCAAAGGAGGCAGGGCTCTCCCCCACCCTGCCTGAGGAGTGTGGGGTTGACCCCAGCATTGGGATCTGCTGGATACGAGGACCCCAGACCCAGCAGCCCATTCCAGGTCACAGGCATGGCTCCTGCCCTGGTATGGCAGAGGTGGGATATGCAAAAGTCTGCATCACCCTTTTCTCCACATTTCCCCTTTGGTTTGCCAAGAGCTTTTCCTTGAAACTCAGCAGGTGCAAAGTGAAGCAACAACCTCCTGTGGTGCAGCCTTTGGGTGGCACACATCCCTGTGCTGTCAGCGTGGTAAAAGACAGAATACTGCAGCCAGAAGCAGGTGTTGAGGTCAGCCCTTTCCTCCAAAGACACAGCACCTTCCTGCCCCCCGGAGAAGCTTCCTCACCTACAATAGCAGCAGCTGTTGGGCAGGGAACCCACAGTGGAGGCAGCCAGCCTGCTCTAGAGCAAGACCCACTGTTCCCAGGCACCTGCCTGAACACAGCACCACAATCACAGAGATGAGGCTCCAGTAGAGCCACACAACTTTCCCCTGCCCAGCCAGGCACTGGGATCCAGCCCTCGCCTGTCTATGGCCATCCCCACATCCCAGCGGGGCACCGAGCCCATGGAATGGGACAGCAACCACCAGCACAGACAAGAGCGCTGGCAACATCACAGCCGAGGGGTGCGGATCCTTGGATTTGGCCCCACCCCAGGCAAAGGCGAGGCCTCACGCTGCCGGGTCCAGGCAGCCAGGCGCAGCCCTGTGGCACCCTCCTGTGGCTCCGCAGCGCCCGGCTCCCCCGGCTCGGCAGCACCCAGCCCCACAGCGCCCAGGCACTCTGCGGTATTCAGCCCCATCCTCAAAGGCTGCCCGTGCCGACAGCCCCACCGCACCCAGCCCCCTAACAGCCGGCTCTCCCTGCCCCGCAGCATCCCGGCCCCTGCAGACCAGCAGCGTTCCCCCCGCTGCCTCCCATCCCAAGCGCCCCCATGGCGACAGACCCCGCTGCCTCCCGGCTCCGCACAAGCCCCTCCTGCCCTCGGCACACGGAGCATCCCCCATCGCCTCCCGGCCCCCGCGCTTCCCGCCCCACAGCACCTCTGTATCGCCGCCCAGCCCCACTGCAGCCACAGCCCCTAGAAGCCCACAGCTCTCGCAAGGCCCCGACACCCCCGCCCGGCGCCGCCGACCTGGGCCCGCCGCCTCCATGCCCGGGCCCCGCCGGCCCCCGGGCAGCGCCCGCGCACGGCATGCCGGGAGCACCGTCTGCCGTCACCGGACTACAGCTCCCAGCATGCCTCACGTCGGGAGACGAGAACCAATAGCCGCGACGCTTACAGAGCAGCATTGACGTCTGGAACCAATAGGGTGAGGGCTTTCTGGTGATGCCCTGTCGGCAGCGGGCATGGCGCCTCCTGCACGCTACTGCGTCCCTGGTGAGTGCGGTTCGTGCGGCTCGGGGCTCCTGGGGCTGGGGCTGCCCGGAAAGGGAGCGCGGTGGCTTAGGAGAGGAGTAGGGTCGAGGCAGTGCGGAGGGGCTTGTCTCGGGATGCCCCGCACTAGGCCGGTTGGGAGCGAGCGCTGTGCCCGGGTCCCCGGCAGCCCCTGAGCCCCTGTGTCGCAGGCGAGCGGCTGTGCAGCACGGAGGAGGCCACGGCTGGGAGCGGGACCTACACTCGTCATGGCTTCATCTTCTCCTCGCTGGCTGGCTGCCTGGAGAGAAAGAATGAGGACAGCGAGGTGAGCGCGGCCGCGGCACTGCTGCTCCTCCCCAGGGCTGCACAGCCTCCCTGGAAACCGGGCTGCGGCGGGGAATCGGACTCCGATGGGGTTCGGCTGGTGATCCTCTGCACGAGCTGTGCCCTGTGCTGACCCTCGTGTCTTGCCCTGCAGCTGCCCGTGGTGTCGGTGGTGAGAGACAGCGAGTCCCAGCTCCTGCCCAACGTGGGGGCTGTGGTGACATGCAAGGTGGGGCGCTGGAGCGCTGCATTGACAAACTGCATGGGCCTTGACTCTGTCTCATACTGAGATTTGTCCTGCACACGGATGGGGTGGGGTGAGGAGTCCCTGGGCTTCTTAGTCCCCTCTGTACAACTCCCACCAGGGCAGGGGCAGCCCACGGGCTCCGTTGAGTCTCTCACTCCCAAAGAAAGTGGGTATTGGCATGAGGGACACCTGCCCTGAGTTGGAGGTGGGCTTGAGGGGAGGATTTTCTTTGCTCTCCTTCCATAACTCTTTCTGGGGCACGGAACATGCAGGTCAGTGTCTCAAGCAGCTTGTAGAAAGGTTGACACAGACCAGGGATTAGTTTCCTTACGTTCCTGGTGGCAGGAGAGGGACTGGGGTCACTGCAGGTCTCAGCCTTATTCTGGTGCCTCGAATTGCACAAGTATCATCTTCCTCACCTGGCTTGCTGCCAGGTGTCCCACCATTGCTTGGTCACAGGGTGGAGGAGGCCAAGTGAGACCTGAGCTCCCCATGCAGCCCTGCCTGCTCCCTGCCCTTTCCCTGCCTGGACCACTGAGTTCCCTTTTCCTACGTGCAGGTCTGCAGTATTAACTCTCGCTTTGCCAAGGTCCACATCCTGTATGTTGGCTCCACACCGCTGAAATCTACCTTCCGAGGCACCATACGGTAGGGAAAAGGTTAGGATCCCCCACCCTTCGGGGGAGGAAGGCTGTTGTGGGCAGTGCAGCTGGCTGCCCTGAGCTGGAGCGCTGCCCTGAGCACTGGGCTGGTGTCCAGCAGGTCCTGATGAGCACCCAGGGAGGCCGGGACGGCTTCTGCCCCAGGCTGTTGAGTTGTCTTTGCTCATTGGCACTCAGATCCCTCCATCTCCTTTTTCAGGAGAGAAGACATCCGAGCCACGGAGAAGGATAAGGTCAGTGAGCCACTGCCAGTAACTGTTCTACCCCCGTTTATGCTTGTGGGGGCCCTGTATCCCCACTGACAGCACGCTGTGTGGCACTGCCTGCTCTCTCCTGTGCAGGTAGAAGTGTACAAGAGCTTCCGCCCCAGTGACATCGTCCTGGCCAAAGTTGTATCCTTCCCCCTCAGGGACAGTGGGTTGGCTCAAGCTCCCTTGTGGAAGTCTTTCCCTTAACCCCTGTCCAACCAGATCTCCCTGGGGGACGCGCAGTCCAACTACCTGCTGAGCACAGCAGAGAACGAGCTGGGCGTGGTGGTGGCACGCAGTGAGGCAGGTAGGGGCAGGACAGGGTCTGGGCTGAAACAGTGCTCATCCCTGCCTTAGGGGCAGCTGATGAAGCTGCCTCCCTCTCCACATGGAGGAATGCAAGTTTGGGAAGGAGCAACCCTGACATATTGTGCCCCAGGGGTGCAGATGGTGCCCATCAGCTGGTGCGAGATGCAGTGCCCACGGACACACACCAAGGAGTTCCGTAAGGTGGCCCGGGTGCAGCCCCAGTTCCTGCAGACGTAACACCTGAGGGGGCAGGGGGCTGCAGCTCTGGGGCCTGTGGAACCAGAGCAGCCCCTGGGCTCCCACCTCCTTCACAGGTTCAGCCAGGCCTCCACTGGCAGGACAGGTTTGCTGCTTTTGGATAATAAATTTTTTTTGAGAGCTTCCTGCTTTATTCTTTACAGTCAGTGGGGGAGCCAGGGCTATCTACAGCATTCTGGTCTGGCTCTTGCAGCACAGCAGGTGAGGGAGCAGCTTCTATTACACCAGGGGCAGAAGGAAGCACATTTTCACTCCTGATGAAGGGGAGTGATGGAGTGACTTTGCTGCAGTGATGCCAACAACACAGAGCCCTGGGTTGCAGCTGTGCTGGGCACTCACCTCACTGGGCTGGTTTCCCCACACAGGAGTCAAGCCTGGAGCAGAGCGTGTCTCAGCACACCAGGGTGGGCTGTGGGTGAGAAGAGCCTGGGGATATATCTCCTCAGGCCACACATGCATGCCCTGCCCTTTGGGACGAGGGTGTGGCACACACAGAGCCCAAAAACCAGAGCATGGCAAGGTATCACCCTCTTGGCAGAGACTGCAGAGCTGAGCTTTGCTCCTTGAGCCTGGCACAGCTTCTGCATGCTCATGTCTGTGCCCAGCAGTGACTGCTGCATGTGCACATGCTGGCAGCAGGGAGCCCACACGGCCCAGAGACACGTGGACACCTCCTTATTGCGCATTACTCCTTTATTGAACTGGAACAAGACAGCTGCTATGGTTGGACAGTTACACTGACCCCGTGCAAGCCCAGGCTCACGACACCGGCAGAGGGGAGGCCACAGTGACAGGCCACGTACACACACGTGAGGGATGGGACACAACAGCACCTGCTTCACCAGCAGGAAGAGGATGTGCATCAGCTGGGGGAAGCATGTCGCAGACACAGACCTCCAGGCAACAGGCTCCCTCCCTCACCCTTGTCTGAAGGCAGTGTAGTTAAAGCAGGGGCTGGCAGAGCTGGGCCCAGAGTCGTGAGTACCACCCTGGGGTGCTGTACCACGTGCACGAAAACACAACCCTTCCAGTGGCATCCCAGTCACTGAGCCACGCACCCACGAGGGGATGGGGTACCCACCTTGGTCACTGCCGGCACTGCACTTGCCTCACTGCTCCCAGGAGGACTAAATCAAGTGACAAAACTACAGTAAACAGGTGACGAGAGCTGCCAGGGATGCAAAGCAAAGGAGGAGCCTGGCATGGCAAGGGACTGCTTGGCCTGTCCCTCTGCAGACACGGTCTGAGGGTTGGGATCACAGCGTGGACAGGTGTGGGGTCGCTGCCTGGCAGAGACAGGGCTCCCTTTCACACCAGACCTCCGTGTCCAGCCCTCGCCCCGGAGCCCCCAGGCTATCTGCAGAGGGGAGCCTGGTCTGAGGGAATGGGCCTAACCGTGGGGAGCGCCTCCAGCTCCACAGCTCCGAGTTCCTACAACTGTGGGGGTGTGAACAGAGGGGTGGGGGATGGCAGGGGGCTCTACTGTGTGCTGCTCTGCTGCCTGCCCTCACTTCTTGGCCTTGCCCTGAGCAGCAACAGCCTCCATGGCCTTGCGCACCGTCTCCTCATCCCCCAGGAACTGCATGGGCTTGACAGGTTTCAGGTTCTTGTCCAGCTCGTAGACAATGGGGATGCCAGTGGGCAAGTTCAGCTCCATGATGGCCTCTTCTGACATGCCTGCAAACACAGCAGTGCCGTCACTCTTGGACCTTCCCTCAGTGGCAGCTGGGGAGGAGGGGGTCCCTGGGATGCCCCTGCAGGGGTGACCTACCTTCCAGGTGCTTGACAATCCCACGCAGGCTATTGCCGTGAGCTGCAATAAGGACTCGTTTGCCCTCTTTGATCTGTGGGACGATTTCCTCGTTCCAGAAAGGCAGAGCCCGGGCAATGGTGTCCTTCAAGCTCTCGCATGTTGGCAGCTGGTCCTCTGTCAGGTCGGCATAGCGGCGATCCTGGGAGAACAACCATGCTCACACAGCAGCCCAGTGCCTCCCATCCAGTGTGGGAATATGGTGGCAAGATTTTGTCTCTCCCCCAGATTTTCTACCTGAGGACCCACTATGTGTAAGCAAAGCCAAACCTGGAAGCAAGAAATTGACTCTGAGGTTTGGGGCTGCAATGAGCCACTCATGAGCCAATGAGTCAGGGCCATGAGCCCTCCTGGGAAAAGTCATACATTGCCTATCCAGGCAAAGAAACCAGATCAAACATCCATGAATGGATCATGGCACTAATGATTAACAGAGATATTGTGCCCTCTTCTTTGGATCTGCCTGTACAATGCCCAGCAACTTCACAGGGAGAAGGCAGGATAAACTCAGCCTAAAGTCTACCAGCACCATGCACAACAGCCCCAGATAACGCAACAGAGACACAGGAGACCTTACACAGACAGCCAGGCCACATTGCAGGTGACTTTTAAGAGACTCTTTGCAAGGCAGTCAGAGAGCAATGGGTCTTACCTTTGCAATAGTGCTGTAGAAGGGGTGGTCAGACTGCATGGGAGGCGGAGGGATGTCATAGGAGCGCCTCCAGATCTTGACCTGCGCCTCACCGTGCTTCGCTGCTGTCTCAGCCTTGTTCAAACCCGTGAGAGCCCCATAGTGCCTCTCATTTAGGCGCCAGGTCCGGATAACGGGTAGCCACATCTGATCAATGGCATCCAGGACGGTCCAGAGAGTACGGATCGCCCGCTTTTGTACCGAGGTGAAGCAGATGTCGAACTCATAGCCGGCATCTAGAAATTACGGGGAAAGGGGGGGCGGAGGAAGACCAGGAAGGTGAGTGCCCGGCCTTATGCAACCGGTGAAAGGCCAAGGGCGGCGGCCTCACCGCACCGGTAGCGGTCGCGTCCTCGTCTTTACAAAAAGCGGCGGCGGCGGCCAAGACACGACCGGTACCGGAGAAGCAGCACACTGCGGTACCTCGGACTCTCCCAGCAGCACTGAACCCCCGACCTGGCCCTGGAGGCCCTCGCCCAGCATCGGAGAGCCCCAGACCAGCACCCGTTAGGCTCGACGTGACCGCACTGGGCCGCATCCCTTTCCCCCCGTCCCCCGCGACCCCCCTCTTGCCCGGGACCCCCTCCCTCGTCCACCGGTACCTCGTAGGGCCTCGCCACCGCGCCGCGCCTCCTGCTGCCCGGCGGGGCTGAGGTCGGCGTCGTACCATCCGCTGAAGCGGTTCTCGAGGTTCCAGGCGCTCTCGCCGTGGCGGACGAGGACGAGCCGGTACGCGGCGGCCATGGCGGGCTGAGGGACCGGGGCGCGCTGCTCCTCACGCTGCTGCCGCGCGCGACTAACGCCCCCGCTCGGCCCCGCCCCGCCCCGCGCGCCGCCGGTGGCAGGGGGAGGCGCATGCGCTACACGCGCGCCAGGCGGAGGCGCACGTACCACATGGCGCGGCCGCGAAGGGCGGTGCGACCTTCAGGGTGTGGCGTCACCGTGACGTTACGACACGCAGTAACACGTGACTCCTCGCCCGTGGCCACAGGCTTGGTCTGAGCGGTTTCGCAGGGCCGGGGCTTGGGCACGGGGATGTCTGGTGGGCTCTTGTCGGTGGCTGCCCCTGCGCCCCTCGGGTCTCCCATCTCAGCCCTGATTGGGTACGACACCGCTTCTCGCCCGCTCCGCCGGGACGCGGCCTGCCCTGATGGCTGCCCTCATTAAAGATGGCGGCTGGCGCCGGAAGCGGAAAGCGGGCTGTGGGCGCGGCCGCACGTGGAGCCGGGTCCAGCATGGCGCGGAGCGGGAGGCTCCGCTCGGGAGCCGCGGCCAAGCTGAAGCGCTGGCGGAAGGGCCACAGCAGCGACTCCAACCCCGAGACCCGCCAGCATCGTCTGGCTGCACGCAGCCGCTTCTGCAGCCGGCCGGCGGGTAAGGGCAGGGGCAGGCGGCTCCTGACACGTCCCGGCTCTTCCCGGAGGGGTGCAGGGCCGCTGAGGGCTGTGGGGTGGATCTTGGGGTCCTCCGGGAGCGGGGGCTGGGGCAGGAGTGAGAGCGGAGCCGCTGGCAGTTCCGGGGTAGGCAGAGGCAGTAAACCTGAGAGTACAACGGAGGCCACGGCGTAAGGAGTCAACCTCGTAGTGACACCGGGCCTCAGCAGCAGAATGGGGCGCCGCATGCCGCAGTGCCTGTCGCCCTGCAAAGCTCCCCAAAGCCCACGGCCATGCCTCTAAGTGCTGCTGTGGTGTCTGGTGTGATGAGGAGTGTGACAAACTAACATTCAGGCGGCCACATGATGGGGAAGATAAACCAAAGTGTGCCAGGCACTGCGAGAACACCGGCTGCTCCTGGCCAAGGAAATATTTATCATGCATCTCATGCAGATGCCTGGCCAAGGAAATCTCATCTCAGCATCTCATGTAGATGCTGGCTGCAGGCTGATGTCTAGGACTCACAGGAACATGCACCATCTGTTCTGGCTGTCTGGTTGCTAGGGCTTCAGGTGGAAGAAGATAAACAGGGCAGAGTACAAGAAGCACCTTAGTGTTAAAGCCTTGGCACACCGGCACACATTTGCATGGACACGATGCTCTCTTCCATCAGAGATGACTGGACTGTGCTCTAGTTTCTTTCTGAGGAGCTCTTTACAGTTATTGATGTGCTTTTGCTCACTGGGGTGAAGCAGCACCTGTATTCCACATGCTGGATATGAGCCCCAGCCAAGCCAGTCTGGGAGGGAAGGGGAGCACGGGGGATTTCGGGGTGAACGGTGGAGCAATGTGACTTCTCTGTTCTGACACATCTCACCCCCGCAGAGAAAAGTAACTTGACGGTGGATGCAGTGAAGCTGCACAATGAGCTGCAGTCGGGGTCCCTGCGGCCGCAGCGGGCGAGTGGCAGCGCGCAGCTCCGTACGGAGGAGGACAGTGCTGACGGGGCTGCCACGGACAAGTCCTCTGGCACCTTCCTGAGCGGGCTGAGCGACTGCACTAACATCACCTTCAGCAAGGTGCAGCGCTTCTGGGAATCCAGCTCTGCTGCTCACAAAGAGGTGCGGACGGGAGCAGGGCTGGGGAAGGGGATGGGCCCTGGCTGTGAGGCTGAGAGATGCTGACCTGCTTTGCTGGCTGCTCACAGATCTGTGCCGTGCTGGCGGCTGTGACAGAGGTGATCCGT